TTTTTTTTTTTTTTTTGGCTCCAGTAGTTGCGTGCCGAGTCGTTGAAACAGACTGGAGAGGGTTGATCGATATTGGCAATCTGGTTGGGCGCCTGGAGACGCCAGAATGGGTTTACCACAGCTCGGCAAGTGGAAGCAGGGCTGTCTGTATGTACATAATGGATCGTGGCAAAGGGCCAACTACCTACATAGCATCTACTGTAGCTCGTGGTTGTTAGTATCGAACTCGTCAAGCTCCTTTTTACTAGACCACAAAAGCACTCTCTCCACATCACATGAGAACATATAGCTGCTAACATCCTCAAGCTTCAAATGCAAGCTTCGCAAAACAGACCAATCACAGAACAAGATAGACATGGTTCGATCGGGAGATTTGCTCTGCCTCATGGTGGGGGAACCAATAACAACCCTCGTCTCGCACACATTCAGCTCAAAAGCATCAAACGACAAGGTCAAGGCACAGAGTACTGGTAGTGGTAATTAAGCTGTCGCCTTCCGGTTTACAAGTTGGCCAGTGCAGAAGCTCTAGACATCCTTTTGGCTTGGGGCTTGGCGAGAACCATCTTCCTTCTGCTCGAGTCATTCCCAGGCCAATGCAAGGGCACGTGTCTGGCCTGGCTGTGCTTTTTCATGCGTGTGATACAGAAGGAAACAGGTCGCGGTTCATCCAAATTGACTTGTTTGGCCCAGTGTTCCGCAACGGTGGTCCCGTAGAAGATGATGATACACGTGCGCGTTCTCTGCAACTCACGGCTGGTTTGGAATACTATTACTGATGAGCATCCGGGCTAAGCAACACCATCTCATTGATCGTCCAGCACATGAAACAGCGCTGTATATCGATGGACATTTGTGCAGGTTACGTACGTACTCAAGTCACATGATTGTACCTACCGTATTGCTCAAGCCATGGCCGGCGTCCGACGATCACCCGCTCATCATCGGCTAAGAATGGCTCTCGCCCTTACAAGTATGTACTAGACTAACTGCTAACAAGGGCAGCGAAGACGGCGGCTCACGATAGCCTCAGCCCATCGAGTCATCATCCGTCAAAACAGCCCAGAAGCCGTCGCGCCATGCCTGGAGCGGAATTAGCTTGCCCCCCTTTTCTCTTCCTTACCTTACTTGTATATACAAGGCGTGCCTAACACCAAACGACACTTGTCTCCCTACACTCCCTCTAAGGAAAAGGAACTCCACCATGAGACGAGCTGAAGTCTGAGCGGAGCCCGCGCCGGCTCCATAACGGCTCGAACCACCAAGATCCGCCCCAAAGAATAAGGGAGATAAGATTCCATATCGTTAGAAGAGCCCGCCCACGTGCCCTCTTCTGGTCTTTGGCTCTTGTTCAATCCCGATGCCCTGGTCCGGTTTTTCCTTGTATCGTCTCAGCTTTTTTCTGTGTCTGTCTGAGACGATGATGGGTCGACATGAGTCGAGCTTGGACCACGTTGACCCGAGAGAGGTTTGTGTTTGCTGGGAACTGTCACACAGCACGCGTATTCGTAGGATACGACAGCTTGCTTGTGGTTCTCCTTTTCTCCTTTTTCCCATGTTCTAGATATTAGCATGCAGCAATGTGATGTGAGCACGGGGGAGATGAAAGCCTTGACGCCACGTTTCTTCTAGTCCGCACATCGCATCTGTCCCATGGCCGATATCCAGCTCCTCATTCGCCCACGGCTCTCGCTGTGATAAAGAGCCGCACGACCTAAACCGGATGGATCTTTCGACAAAGCGTCCAGCCACCACGACAAGGCGCGTGGCCGTGACCAAAGCCCTGGGAATCCAGCAGCGCCGCCCTCACCGGTCGGACGGGCACCGACAGGGTGGACAAGCCAGAAGCACCAACAAGCAACAACAGCAAAGGACGCAGAAGAAGAAAAAGCCAACAGACACCAGAAACCATGCCATCGCCCGTGCCCTGGATGACGTGCTTTGAGTGGATAAAGGGCACATGTGTGAACTGTGAAGCCGGCGCCACTTTTTTTCTCCTCCATGCGGCGGTACTTGTCATACGGGAGATGAGTAAGTAAAGTTGAAGCTAGTAGTAGCAACTCCTATTATCGGGATCAAACCGGTGCTGTGTCATTATGGAGATTGCAAAGCCATCAGGGTGTGCGTTCGTCAGTTTTGTTAGTGCTGTCGTTATTACGGCTCACGGCAGTGGATGAGTCTGACTGGACGGATCAACCAGGGCTGAAACGGTGTCGAAAGTGCGCCCGTTTTGATTTGCCCCCCCTGGCGACGATTACTATTAGGGCTGGCGCTTCCAGACTAACAGAGACGCAGGGTCAGCTTTGGATTGTCAGGATGTATTTGGAAAACTTGGCTGTCGAAATCTCAGCTTCATTTCCTTTCATTGCGATGGGCCCGCCGTGTAAGTTGATGGGTGGCCTTGTAGCGAGAGCAACCTTGATGGACAACAGACTCCATCTCATCCGCCCCGTGAAATGCCCTCATCATCCGTGCTCCCGGACATTAAAAACATGTGGACAAACTGCTTGCCCCTGCAGCTAATACGTACATCCTCCGCATCTCCACGGACCTCAAAAAAACGGTCGATGCCAAGTTGATGCCGTTGGGCCTCACGGTGAACATCCGTGCGTTCCACAAACTGTTCCCGAACTCCGTTCCTCAGTTTAGCAATAATGATAGCGGACCCTGCAGACAAACAAAGCCCATCCCCTTTCTCACCCACTAACTTGCTCATACATACATACTTGTTCCCGTCAGAGATGTCTCGTTTGCGCCCGCTGCACTGGAAACAACAAAAAATCCTCCGAGTCGGGACGTCCCCAGAGGCCGAGTCCCGCTTTGTTGCTATTGTCATGCAGTTCAACCTACATAGCGTGGGCATTAGGTCCTGCTATTGACTGGGCTTGACGCAACACGACAACCAGCCAGGGAACGGAAAGACAGAAACTCCCGTATCTGCCGTTCAACATATTCGTGCTAGCGGTGCTTTCCCATGGGGATTGCTGTCATGTAAGACCTCAGGCTCTGTGTCCGTATGTACTAGTGGCGATGGTCAGGATTGGAGCTGCGAGCTGCTTCGCGAGGAATTGCATGGTTAGCAAAAACTTGGGGTAAACCGGGGTCGTGGATGCCTCGGAATGCCCTCAAAGTCCTGCTGATACCCCATATTTCCCTCGTAGCGCTGCAGTGTGGCCAATATTTCTCGAATGGCAGGGTCTTGGAATGCTTTGTATATATTTCGTGGTGGCGTGTGATGTGATGGGGAGGCTTGCAGTTCCCCAGACATGCCGCCTCCAGAAAAGGCTTTCAAGCTCTCATCCATCTTCAAAGGCCCTGGCGATTTCTCCAGACTGGGTTCCCCTTCCTGGAGGAATCTTGACAGGGTGCCAATCCAGTCGCACAAACTACCTGTTTTTTTTTTCTTCTCTGTTCCCCTTTCTGCTTGCCGAATTGGCCAATCCCTTTTTTGACGGTCTTGATGCAGGGTAACTCACAGCAGCATGCCTTCCACGATGATGAATGCGACGAGATTGCATCATCTGCGCCGTTACCAAGGAATACCCTCCTTTCTATTGACGACATCTTTGCCCGTTTCCAAGGATGCAGCAAACCGTCCCCTGTGTATGTACGATAACTCCGTAATAATGCAGGTGATGTATCGGCTTGCTTGCTTGCTTCCCTCCAAGGCACAGCTCTTAACGTTCGACGAGGGTCCAAAAAGTGATATCATCTGCAAGGCTTGCATTACATAGATTATATATCGCGGGGTCGGATGGGTGCCTCCAGGCCCTTTGTCTGAATGGCTCCAACGTCTTTGCCCCCCCTTAGCCAGGAAAGCAACGGTGGCCCATTTTCGCTTCCCGCATGGCCCGGATGACTGAAGCACTCACATACTACCTACTACTACTTCACTTAGACGAGCTGATAATCAGGGATGGCTCAATCCCTTTGACAGGGCGCACTCGCAATGTAGGTACTGTAGACAGCCAGGGATCATGAAATCGCCAACCAACTGCTGCCGCCTTATCTCTTTCACTTTACCCCCCCAAAGTCACTCTATTTGATGCTGCGGCAGCCTGGCGACCCCCTCACGGCTGCCTTCTGGTGGCTGCCTCGCAAACACGAGGCCCATCGCCGCCATTGGCGTCCAGAAAGGTTCGCAAGGCACATCACAGCAAGCCACGCCAAAGGAAGAAGAAAAAGAGAAGGAAAAAAAAAACAATTTGGTGTAGTACCCTGTCGATCGCTATATGTCTCTTGTCATGTCATGTCATGTCTGTTTTTCTTGCCGCCACGAACAAAGAAATCCCCCCCCCCCCCCCGGCTTGGCTCTGCGAGAAGCTTCACCAACACCGACCTGCATCCTCAACACACCCCCTGTTTCTTTCACTTGGAACGAGGAGAAGCAGAATCCTCGACCTCGCGCGCGGCCCCCCGGAATGCGCCTGCGCCTGCGTCTGGCTGCAAGTTCTCTGCATCTCTCAAAATCCTCCCCCGGCTCATCCTTCGACTCCATTTGCCAAGAGGCTAACTCCGTAGTTTTCCCCAAGGAGAATATAGTACTACTCCGTACAAGTCAGAAATATACCCCAACTTTGTCACCTTTTACGGTATCGCGCGTTTCTGATGAGTTCTGCCCCCCGTAGTAGTATTATGTACTTGATCAAATCTCTCCACACCAGCTGGCCCAGCCCGGGGAACCTGCCATTGCATGTCCTAATAAATGAAACGCACGCACGTACGCTCGCTTCAGGGCGGATACAGTAGACTAATACTTCGTACCTTGCTTGAAGTTGTATACCTACCTATGTCAGGGTCATGTACGAAGCAAGGTCCCAATGTACGTATGTACGTTCGAGCAAGCGAGCTGTTGGGTTCAGTCGTTCAACCCCCCCGGGCCTCGGCCCTTGTTATCCACTAGGCCACGTAAATTGAACTGACAAAGGGGGATTCGTCTGCATCGAGCAGCAAGCGCGAAAAGCCATGTGTTCGCTGGAGATTTGTCTCGGTTCGGGAGAACAGCACAGCGCGCTCGCTGGTGCCAGTACTACTAGGTATGTACTACTAGCAGTCCAGTAGTACTGGTTGGAAGCAGTAACACTGCCGAAGACGGAGCATACATGTACGGTAGGACAAGAACTCAACGAAGCGGCGAGTAATGATGCTAGGGCATGGATCTCGTTGATCCGGAGATGCTGCCCCAGCAAATCCTCCTCCAACCGCTGCCGACGTCCTGCCTTTGATGCTTGATTTGACGCTCCAACATGTGTGTGTAATGAAATGCACGGCCTAGGTTGAGCACGGCAAGCATCTGTACAACCACAGGCTTCTGCTATGTACATAGATACTATGAATGGGGGGGTTGCGCAGTGTTGCAGTGCGTACCTAGGTAGAGTAGACACTTTGCCGCTTCGTACAAAGTACAAGCACGCACTTTGAACGGAGTGATGATGCTAATCGCAGTCTATCAGTTCCTTGGCCAAACACACAAAATCTCCTCAGTCATGATCAGACAGTCAGGCATCTTGTCAAGTGATGGGGTGGCAGAAGAACGAACCCTTGCTGGACCCCTCAAAGAAAAGCACATCCCCAAATCTCCAACCAGCCGTCGTTCAGTAACATGTACATGTTGTCCTCCGTCCAGCCTGCACACATGTACCGTGTGGTGTAGCAGCAGCAAAGGAGCACCAGACCCCGAGGAGGCAAAGAATGACGGACAGCCCTTTTCCCAACCCACAAGAAGGCTTGGCCTGGTGGTGTTGCGATGGCTCTCGACGGCCTTCGCCTCTTGCAGCATCTGGGGGAGGAGTGCCGTTGGCTGCTAGTGGCTGGTGACGGTTCTCTTCCCCCCTTGTCGAACTAGGCAAGCGGTCGCCATGCACCAATCCCGTGCGACGCTCCAAGCACCTCCAGAAGCAGGTGAAATCGCAAAGGGCATGGTCTGCTGCTTCTAGCGGCCTCCACTGCCATCCCTTGCCCATCCTTTGAGAGCAAGGCACATGGCCGCGTCGACGCACGCCGGGGGGCCCTGTACAATTACTATGATACTGGTAAGCGATGGACGTCTCTCCGTCGAAAACCTCAGGCCAACCAGCATCACGGCCAGGAGACGGCACGGGTTTGGCGTCGTCTTGTCATCCAGCCGTGGAGAAAGGGCCCAAGGGCTCTCGCTAGCGGGTTGGTTGGGTCGAACTTGGCCCTATCGAGGCAGATCTGGGAGGCTGATCGCCGTCCTTTTCCGCCTCGTCATGGCCAATGGGCGTCATGGTCCAGGTGCGCCTCCCGCAGAGATGCGCAAAGTCGGCTAGCAGTAAGATTGGGTTGGATGGACGGGCTGGATAGTGCATGTATCGGTTCTGCATCAACAAGGGGGAGCGACGTTTGCCTGCCGGGTCGTCCTTTGCTCTCCAACAAGTCCTACAGTAATACGTCGACACCGTGAATTGCTGTTGGGAGATGAGGTCGCCTTCTTCCAGCTCCTTCTCCTCGGCTGCCTATCGCCCATCATCAGTCAACCCCAAAGTCCTATCACGGCGGCTGCAACCAAAGGAGACGCCAGAGGTGTGCCCTTGACGGCCATGTCCGAGTAACCGAACCGTGAACGGTAACAGTCGCAACGGCAGCAGCAGCACCACCAGCAACAACAACTGTTGATAGCACGGCGCACCATCGCTAGTGAATGCGACGACATGCCACCACCTCAGCCGTTTGGAGCGCTGGGTAATATCCGGAGCACCCCAGGCGATGCCTGTTTTAAGCGCTGTGGTACGAAGCACAGAGATGCCGTGCGGCGATCTGGGAAGCTGGCTATGTATCTGCAGGATTTGCGCGCATGTTGGCTGTGATTCTTCTCATTTTTACATTTTACAATTCTACACTTTTCATTGTGTTGTCGGCGGCCCTGTCTCGCCTGGCGCCATGCCGCTGGCTGTTGCTCGTGCATGTCGACGCAGCTATTCGCAG